CCAGCCCCGCCCCGCCCCCTCCCCCGCTGCCAGGAGCCAGGGAGCATGGCATTGGGGAGGAGGGGCCGCCCAACTGACCTTCATCCTCGACCTGGGCGGAGCCCATGATGGCAACCGGAACGCCCACCACAGAGGCCATGGCCCAGATGGCCACGTTGACAGCCTGGGCCTTGCTGGACGTCCGGACATCAAGGGCGCGGATGGGGTGGCAGATGGCTACGTAGCGGTCCACGCTCATGGCAGTCAGTGTGAAGGTGCTGGTGAACATGTTGTAATAGTCGATGGCGATGACCGTCTTGCACAGGGCATTCCCAAATGGCCAGAAGCCCAAGAGGACATCTGTGCCCTGGAAGGGCAGTGTCAGCAGCACCAAGGTGTCTGCCAGGGCCAAGTTAAAGATGTAAATATTGGTAGCTGTCTTCATCTTGGTGTGTCTGCAGAGAGGTTAGGGAGAAGAAAGGCTTCGTTCGGCCACCCTGGCTGGACCAGGCAGCAAAGGCAAGGGCGCAGACGCGGACTCCAGGCCCGCCCCATGGCAGGGAGCCCGCAGGCGAACGTCTTAACAAGCTCTCAGGTACCCCTGGCACATACGAGGGGGTGCGAAGACTGGCCTGGTTTTGGAAAGTTGGGTGTGAGGGAGGCAGGGGAGCCCAGGGAGGGGTAAGAGAAAGGACCTGTCCTCCTTCCTTTCAAGTCTCCCCCGAGACTCTGCGTGGACTACAACTGCCAGAGGCCTCCAAGGGCCGCAGAGTCTGTGACAGCACGTCCACGGCCTCCCAGGCCACACAGCTGTCCTGCAACCAAGACGGGAACGGGGACCGTGACGGGAGCAGTGCTAATGCGGTCTGACTGGGTCCGGCACCTGGGACAGGGCTGGGGGACTGCGGGCGACAGCGGGGACGGTGGCGGTGGTGGTGACAGTGCCCGCGATAATCATGGCGATGGCAACGCCAGAGATGACAATGTTCCACGTCAATTAAGACGCCATGAGAGAATCTGAGGCTTAGTTCTGCCTCTCAAAGAGGGGTGGAGAATAAGCACAGAGGCCTTAATTGTCACCAAATAGCAACGGCCATGACCACGATGACGGCAGATACCCGTACCCAGCCCTTCCCGTGGGTTTTCTCTCATTTAAGATTCAAAAAATGCTGTTTTGATCCCAACTCTGTGCAGGAGGACACAGTGGCTCAGAGGCTCCGAGTGGCCTTCTCACGGCCATAGAGCTGGTAAAAAGCAGAGAGGATCGAGAGAGTTAGAAGATCACTGCAGACAGGAGGAAGAAATTGCCAACACGCATGTGATATAGGCCTGCTGTCCGGACACACAGGGAACTCCAGACTCAACAACGAGAAAACAACCAACTGCCTGAAAAGTGGGCAAACACCTGAGCACACCTCACCAACGACGATCGCACGACGGCCAATGAGCAGACGAGAGGACGCCGCGCATCCCGTGTCACCGGGGAAAGGCAACTTAGAACGGGGAGACACCAGCGCCCTCCTATCAGAACGGCCAGACCCAGGGCACTGACGCCAGCACACGCGGGAGGACGAGGGGCCACAGACACTCGCGCCACTGCCGGGGGACGCACACGGAGCAGCCGCGGGGGGGACGGCCGGGCGGACCTTACAGAACTGGACGCAGCTCTACCGCGTGAGCTGACGGTCGCGCTCCTTGGCGTTCGCCTGAGGAGGTGACCACCCGTGTCCACACACAGACCTGCACGCGAGGTCTGCAGCAGCTCACTCAGAGGCGCCAACACCTGGAAGCCCCGAGACGCCCCTCAACAGGTGGACACATGCTCTGTGCCCGTCCAGACGGCGGGATGTCGCCCAGCCCTAGGAAGAAAGGAGCTGTCGCGTCACGAAGAGACACGGAGGGACCGTAAGCGCACGTCACTAGGGGAGAGAAGCTGATCCGAAGCCACACACGTGCGATTCCGGCTACGCTCAGGAAAAGAAGAAGCTGGGGCGGCGACAAGATCAGCGGAGCCTGGAGCCCGGGACGGAGCGGGGAGCGGGTGGGGCACAGGGGACTCTGCAGGGCAGTGAGAACACTGTGTGACAGCGCGATGATGGGTACGTGTCATCACGCATCTGTCCAAACCCACAGAATATACAACAGCAAGAGGGACCCCGATGTGGCCACGGACTGGGGGACGATGACGGCGATGTGCCACGATCAGCTCATCAGTCGTAGAAGCTGCACCGTGCTGGCGGGGGCGCTGACGACGGACACACTGGGCGCATTGGGGGCAGGCGGGGCACAAGGACCGTTCTGCGCCTTCCTCTCGGTTTTGCTGTGAACCTGAAACTGCTCTAAAAAATTAAATCTTTAAGAAAGAAACAGGCTTGGAACCAGGTTCGGCACAGGGGAAGAGGCAGCCGCTCCTCCAAGTGCCTTGTCTGAGCACGCATGCCACACACACCAACGCACGAATGCATAGTACACGTGTGTGCTCACACTCACACGTACAGATGCACGCACGTGTGCATACACATACATGTGGGCATGCACGCACATGCTCCCGTGTGCGCCCCTGCCCTGGCTCCCCACCGGCTCCCCATGCTACCCCCCCGTGTCCCACGCTCTCCTCCACACGCTCACCCACACCGTCCCTCTGATGTCCCCCCAACCCAGCAGCCTGGCCACCCCTCCTGGCCCCTCATCCTAAGCACCAGAAGAGGCTGCAGCCAGCCCAGATGCCGGCAGTAAACAGGGGCCCTAGAGCCAAAAGAAGGGGCCCGCACCCCCTGCCCAGCCCGGGCCCTGGGGTGGGCTGACGAGAGCTGTCTCTCAGGGTGACGGCTGGATTTCTGAGGTCCCCACAGCAGCTCGGCTGGGAGCCTGGCCAGTAGCTCAGACCAGAGGGCATCTGTATTGGGAGCGAGGGACAGAGCTGCGCCCCCTCCCCCACCTGGACTGGGGCAGAGTGGGGCTGGTCCCCTCCCCGCCTCTTCCCCTAGTCAACTGCCTCAGGACCGACCCTGCTCCACGACACGATGGCCAGGGAAGTCCCACCTGCCAGGACCCCCAGAACAGCCCCCGCCTCAGTCTTCCCCCGGTGGCAATGTGGGACTCGCCGATCGGGGACCAAGGGGAGGCCCAGCTTACCTGAGGATGACGTACATGACAAGGCAGTTCCCCAGCAACCCCCCAATGCACACGGCCAGGTAGAGCCCCACGATGGTGACCTTGAGCCCGAGGGACAGGAAGTCGCCGTGGCTGGCATTGATCAGCAGGTGGGGGGGCGGCAAGCTGTGATTGGGGCTCACGAGGGACAGGTTGTCCTGCAGGTGGCTGCTGTAGAGGACCTCCCAGAGTGGGGCGGGGAAGAGGGGCTCCATGCTGCACCCTCGGTACCTGGGAGGGCATGGGGACACGTGACCACAGCACCTGACACCCACCCAGCCAAGGCCTCCGGCACAGTGCGCATGGCCCGGCAGGCACGTGGACCCCTACGGGCAGCCACAGTCGCAGAGGCGCATACACAGGGACACGAGCACATACGCGCACACGGGGAAACATGGAGACGCGCAGACACGCAGCACGACAGGGGCACACGCAGAGCACACGTGCACACACAGGGACGCGGTCTCGTTTGGCTCGCAGACTCCCACACAGGATGTGTGGCTGGCGTTACAGAGCAGGACACGTGTCCACCCCAGGGACTCAGACATGCAGCTGCCCGCGTGCTCACTGGCGCAGGGACACATGTGCGCGCACACACACGCACACACACACGCAGATGCCCAAACCTGCTTTCACGCACACACAGGCACAAAAGGGGCTGAGACATGCCCAGAACACCTGGGACACAGGACACAGGGCACAGGGCGGCACAGTGCACGGCCCCTCCCTGAGCGCTGCAGGCCATCACCCCCACGCCCAGCACACAGCGGCTTGGATCTTACCTGGGCAGCCTCTGCAGGAGCTAGGACTGCGGGGCCCTTGGCCTTGGCCTTGGCCGGCGAGCAGGGCAGGGCCGGGAGCCCTCCCTGCCTCAGCACTGGGTCTGCGCAGGGCTGTGGCTGCCGCAGCCGCAGCCGTGGCAGCTGCTCCCTCTCAGCAGACGCCAGACCAGACGCAGCAGCCTGGCGCTCAGGGCGGGGGGAGGGGGAGGAGGCTGCAGCTCCGGAGGGGGAGGGGCTGTGCAAGCTGGAGCAGGGGGCCACTGGGAAGAGGGTCACCAGGCCCCACGCTGATGGGGACAGACACGAGGACCAAGGCACACGTTTAGAGATAAATGACAGACAGAAGTTCAGACTCACAGAGCCCAGACAGGGACAGGCTCAGACACAAAGATGCACACAGTAATTCAGACATGGGGACAGACACACACACAAGGACACATGGGGACTCGGGGACAGACACACACAAGATAAAAGGAGACGCACACAAAGACATAGGACAGAGACACGGGGAGATGCGTGCGAGACACTCAAACCGGGACACGGACATGGGGCCACGTCTCACAGGCAGAGACACAGACTTGGACAGACTCAGACCAGCCCTGGCTGGCATTCCATACCCAGAACTGTGCCCCTCAGCTGGGTTCCCGGGGAAGCTGAGCCACTACGGGCCGGCTGGTGGGTGGACACACAGCCATGTCCCTGCCTGGCCAGCCCTGAGTAGATCAGAGCCCTGTGTCTCTACTGTGCGTCCTGCGTGCCCTGCATGCCTACTATGCTCCAAGCCATCTGCAGCCACAAGCCCCTCCACCCCCACCATACATGGCCACTGCTATCAGCGTCACCTTGTGCAGGCAAGAGCATTCAGCATCAGAGGTGTGAAGCTCCATCAAAGTGGCAGAGACAGGGTTCAAACCCAGGCTAACATGTCACTTTGAGACCCACCGACGGTGTCCTTGCCACAGGTGGGTCCCAGAGTAGCATCCGTGCGTCCACCCCTCACAGCCTGGGCCCTGGGCGACCACACAGCTGAACAGCTCCCTGGAGAGGCTTCTTGCCCAGCACTGGGGTCACGTGCCATGTGGGTGACCCCTGAGCTGAGCCATCAGCCCCACCTAGTCAGGGGGTTATTCTTCCTGCACAGGCTCTGCTCACACAACCCAGACCCTTCCCTGAGCATCTGTCTCCAAGGATGGAGACCTGGTTGCTAGGTTACTGGCAGTGGCGTCGCTAGGATACCTGGCGAATCAGAAGAGGATGGAGCAGGCAGATGCCCCAGGACTCAGCATCTCAACCTGTCCCCCAGGACTTATCTCTGCATCTTCGCTGCAGCCGACTCAGGCCATGTGTGGCATGAGGCATGTCCAGAGACACTCAGTGCAACAGGGACACACACACAGATGCCTGAACAGGCATATGGGAAAACACACGGACACAGGTATGTGCTCAAAATCGTGAAGGCCCTCACAGTGACGGACGCACAAACGCATGGGCCACACACGTACCTACTCACACCAAGGTGCTCACGAGGCACACGTTATGCCGCTGACCTCAGGAACGCAGCAAGGGCAGGGACCTGGAGGCCTCGTGTCCTGCAGCCACGCCCGGCGGGGCCCACCAAGGCCTGTGGAGCTGCGTCTCCTAAAGGCCTTCCGTGGCTGCCTGGTCTGGCCTCAGACAGGACACTGTGGGCCATGCGGCTGCCTGGGTGCTAGAGGTGAGTTCCAGACAGAGCCAGCACGGAGGACTGCTGGAGGCGGACACCCGGCTCCTCTCAGGAACGGTCACCTGGCTGGTGGGTAGCCGGGCCAGGATACTGACTACACTCCCTGGGGGTGGCAGTGGCCCAGCTCTGGACCCTGGAGGGCTCCCGCGAAGGGGCCTGATGGCACAGAGAAAATGGCCCAGGCCTCTCTTGATCCCTGAGTATCAAGAGTAAGGGAGGAAGACAAAACATACATGGCACACAGGGGACGACAGGGGACATGTTCCATAAGAGCATCTACATCCAAGCAGGACAACCTCAAACACTCAGGCCACCAAACAAAACATGTGGGAACACACGGGACAGCCCGAGATACGCAGCTCGCATGAGTGACAGCACGGAGTGTGTCCACAGGTCACCGTCAGAGCCAGCCCTGGGCTGCATGCAGAGGTCATCGGCACTGGGGTGGGACCGAGGTCCCAGAGTGGCATTCACTCCTGCACACCTCTCTCTTGCACCCTGTGACTTAGGGCCCACAAACGCCAGGTGGCAGACGGGCCAGACACCCCATCTGCTCCTCTTACACCCCCACACCTGTGCTAACCTAGGGCTGGCACAGGGATCAAAGTAGAGTCACTGGGAGCCTCGCGAAAAGTAGCTGACCCCGGGATTCAGCCGCCAGGCCACACAGCCGTTTATGCTGTGGGAAAAGTGAGAGCACTGTAATAGTCCTGAGTTTCATAGTCACGAATTTTTTACTTTGTCCTTGTGATTTTAACTTCCCGATGTTGATGCGCAGCAGCGAGAGAGAGGGCCGAGCTGCAGACTCTCGATATAACGCTGCGCCGCAGATTCAGCTCAGCATCGTACTTCGGCGCCCGTCAACACGCTCTCGAACCTCAGCCTTCCAGGACGACACCAACCGCCGGCTCTCGCAGAGGCTGGGCCGCAGGGGACGACAGGGGACATGTTCACGCAGGGGGCATCTCACCTCCCAGCGGAAACGCAGGAGGAGGAGAAGCAGGAAGAAGCCAGGAGAAGCAGGACGAAGCCGTGCTCAGGAAGGGGACCGTCCTGGGATTAGGGCAAAGGGGATGTCAAAGGAGGCCATGCCCCATGTGGCCCCACTCCAACCCTAGGAGCCAGCCAGCCACTCCCTTCTTGTGAGCCCCCCTAGCCTAGACCCCAGGAAGCAAAGCGAGTCCAGAGCCCTGTCTCAGAGAACTCACCCATGTGGGAGCACAGAGTCAGGGCCAGGGATGGCCCCAGCCTGCGCCGTGTGCATCCAGGAGGCCAGCCCGGAGGAGGTGGCCTGCAAGGTTGGCCTTCCTAAATCCTCACTGCTTCTTCTGGAGCCAGAGGCCTTTGTCTTCAACAAGCCCCCAGGTCAGTGCTGAATTCCAAGGCTCAGTCCATACCCCAAAGGCACATGCAGGGCAGGAGAGGGGAGTGTCCGGGGAACAGCTGTGCAAAGGCCTGGGGGCTGGGACAGAGCTCAGGCTACAGGAGGCTAGAGCAAGCTCCCCAAACCAGCGACAACAGTCAATAGCCTTCTGCAGAGAGGCCAGGACCTCCGCTGAGACCCCCAACCCCAAAAGCAGGACAGTCCCCCACTCAGGGGTTCAGGTCCTACATTCCCAAAAAGGCACCACCCATGTGCCCCAGCGCCCAAGCTGGCCCTCAGGACACGCCTGTGGATGGAACGGGGAGCTGGCTACCCCTGTGGAAGCCACCCGTCCATTAACCAGCTGTAGCCCAGAGTAAACTGTGGGATGAGCATGCGAACAAATGAATTCTAGAATACACTGACGACTGCATGAACAAATTACAGGACGAATAAACTGAGAAGTGAATTAGTTACAGAATATTGTGAAATTAACAAACACACAAATAGATTACAGAAATCCAGGACCCAGACTTTTAGAGTTCAGCAAACCCGGGTCAGCCCCTGCGAGGCCCCTGGGACCCTAAGCTCGCCCTGGCAGAGGTGAGAGGCTCTGAATTTTGTCCCTACTTCCCGTTCTCTGAACACCAGCGGCTAGTGGAGGCCTCCGAGGGCCTGCAGAGGGAAAAGGGCTCCAGCTGCGCCCTGTCCCCAGAACTAGCTGCCAAAGGCCGCCCCACAGGCCCCAGAAGAGTGCATTTGGGGCTTCTCAGAAAGAAAAGAAAGCACGCTGGGGCTGGAAAAGCTGGCGGTGACCGCCACCGCAGTCTTCGACTGGCCGGGGAAGCTGCCGGCATCTCGCCCCCTGGGCCTCAACACCCTCCACTCACCTGGACCGCTGCTCGGCCCACCCCCTTCCCTGCCCCCGCCCCTTAGCCCTCACAGGGTTGGGGGAGGGGCGGGACTTCAGGTTGCCAGGCAACCAGGTCAACAAGCCCCAGCAGTAGGAGCTTTGTTGGAGGCTCAGAACCAAGAAGGCAGAAAGTATGGAGTGTGGGCACCAGGTGGGGGTTGGGGGGCAGGACCTAACCCAGGGTCTGGAGTCTGGGGTGCTGGGGGCTGGACTCTGGGAAAGAAGGAGCCCTGCAGGGCTGAACCAGGCCCCTGGGGTGCGTCCCCCTATCGCCCCCTCCCTGGGCTCTGCTGCCCCTTCCTCCACCTAGACCTGGGGGCAGGCTACGGGGATGAGGTCTCCCTGCAGAAGCCAGCTGTCCGTTCGGCTCTGAGCCTCCCTTGGGTCTCCAGTGGGGTAGGGGTTTGATGGCTGACTGGTGACCACAGACATAGGGCACTCCAGCGTCATGGGGAAGGGTCCACCAGGCCTCACTAAAGGCCGTCCCACCTGGTCTCCACTCTGGGTAAGGCCTAAGGTCAACTCGGGGGTCTTGGCCAGTGGACAGAGAAGCAGCCCGTGGACAGGAAGGGAAGGCCCTGAAACTCTGAGAGGACCAGAAAATTCTAGCCGACTGCAGGACTGAGTAGGGAGGCTGAGCTGACGGGGACGTGTGCTAGGCTTGAGCGAAAGCTCTGAGGCTGCAGGCGCAGGACCTCAGGTGGGCTGAAGGAGTCTGGAGGGGCCGAGCCAGGCCAGAGGGGCGGGCAGGTGCCCCACGGACATCGTGCGGGCGCCGACGACAGGACGCCTGCTCCCGCGCAGGGCCCAGGATGCAACCACCCGCGGCCAAAGAGGTCGGGTACAAGGACCCGCGGGAGCGAGCCCGGAGGGGCACTCAGGGCGCAGGGTCCAGTGAGGAGCGCGCCATGGGGGCACCCAAGGGGGCGCCCACGGGGGAGCCCCCCAAGCCGGGCTGGACCCTAACGCAGGAGGGGCTGGAGGCCATGCACCCCGCGCAGTGCCACCGCCACCTGCTCTTCGGCGACTTGCTTGAGGACGTGGGCGCGGTCACTTCCATCTTCCCGCGCGAGTCGGTGGAGCTGGGGTACCGTATGCCCGACCTGTGGGCGTGGACGCAGTCCCTCGAGCCGCCCGCGGCGCGCCAGGACCGGCTCCTCGGCGTCCTCAAGGCGGCCGAGG